TCCACCCACGGTATTTCAAACTGCAGAGACAATTTGAGATATGGATGGCATCATTCGATAAGGTATCCAAAAAGCTTGGCTGTTTCTGATGGACACAGCTTGAAGGAGGAGGCACAGCACCTGAAAGGGGTTGAGAGCAGTCTGTAAGTTGTGGTGACCACCAAACAACTTCACTGCACAGCTTGTTTAACCTTATGGGATGAAGTCAAGACCTTACACCTGCTGTCAGTGAGAAGATCTTTATGCTGAGCTGAGCACAAAGCCTGTAAAAGGGGTTAGTCACTCACTTGATTTATTCACTTTGATATCCAGTGATGGCTGGGCTGTTGGATGAATGCAAACCCTGCTGAAGGCATGGAAATATTCTCCTTTACTTCAGTGGGCTCTCGATACAACCTAACACACAAACCATAAAGGCTCCCTGGATGAAAGATGCTTTGGAAGTGTCAGGTATGACTCTTGCCCCATGCTGTTTACCCTAAATGAGACAGGCAAATAATAAATAAGAAACCTGGGTAGCTGGGCCAGTAGAAATTGTCTACAAAGTGATCAGCAAAGCTCAGATCACTGACAGGCCAGATCAGCAATGAGAAAGGAAAAATCATCTTCTCCTGGGAAAGGAGCCTCTCCTCAGGTCAGGAGAATGGCTGGGGACAGAAGATGAGAGACAACAGCTGGAGACCACAGCCACAATTTCTGGGAAAGGCTGAAGGACAAAAATCTAAGACTTGGATTTTCAATTTTCCTCTTAAGAAAGAGTACATAGAGGTACAAGGAAACATAGAACAAGCTAATTCAATGCTGGCAAAGATTAATTTGCTTTACAGAACTGTCCTTAAAAACTGAATAGCTCAAAACTGACCATAGGAAGTAACTGGTGCGAAAAACCCAACACAACAAATTGCTCTGCACCCTCCTTTTTCTTCATGGAGGCTTTGGGTCATTAGGCAATTTCTCAGCTGTCCCAGGTGAAAAAAGTTTCATCTGGAGGCAGATAATTTTCTGATTTTGAACGAACAGATTTTTTGCATTTTAATACTCTGAACACACTGACCTCAATTCCCTAGTGAGAGCTTCAGACAGAATACAGAAGTTAAAACTACTGATCCAATCCAATCCAATCCAATCCAATCAATTTTTGCTTTTAGGGAACATTTACAAAAGCAGAGAAAGAAGCTGACTTCTTCAAGGGGAAAGATAGTCTGGAGAAAGAGCAGAAAATACACCCATTCTATCTTTAGCTTAGAATACTTTCTCTTTGGTATCATTTTGACTCTCTGCCCAGAAACCTCAACATAAGCCTCCTGATTGCAAAAGTCACAAGAGAATCAAGTGTTTGAAGAAGGCTATTGAAAAAAGAGAGATGTTTCCTACTGCACTTTTGGGTCACAGTCTAACGTACTAAACTCACCCCCATAAAATTTTACTAAGTTTAAATAAGGATTTTTACATTTGGAAAAATGCTGCTTGCAAACAAAGTTAAAAAAACAGAGGGAGAGGAATGATGAATGTAGTATAACCACAGGAAAGCAGAGGTGTTTCCTCTTTCACTGTTCTTAATTAAAATAAAAATTTAAAAACCCACTGCAACTGGGAAGGATTTGTTTATTCCTCTGCTCTCATCAGAGCTGATGGCTCTGGGATAGAAAGAGTCAGGGACATGGGGCCCTGCTCACAACCCTTCAATCTGGGCACCCTGGCTAAGCTGCACTTCCCAAGCCAAGGTGAGCAGATTCTCCCTGGGGTGGTCCTATCCCTACCCATGGGTGACAAAGGAGCTGTCCTCTGACCTAAAAGCTGCTTTGGACTAGGAAGTACCTTTCCTTGCACCTTTCCTCCCAGCACCATCCTGTCTGTGCACCCCCTTGGCACAGTCTTGGTCCCAGAAGGAATCTGCCCTCTCCTCCAAAAAGCTGCAGGACTCAGGGATGTGCAGGAAACCTCACACTTCCCAAACTCTCTTGGAGAGGCTGAAGAGGCTCAAGGAATGTATCTGTAACATGTCAGGTTAACAGTGCTGGTATTTCCTCTTCTGGTCCTTTGTGCTCCAAGATGATTTTTGCACTAAAGGCACCTCAGCATCTTGCAGACAGCTACTGAAGCTGCTTCATCTCTGAAGAGTCACACTAGAGGCATTTAGGAAGTTTCTGCACCCACATAAATACTCTCCCTATCCCTGCCACTGTCCCCACAGCGACCTTGGGCTTTGTCACCTCCTTCCCAGTCCATCACAGCCACCTCAACCATCAGCTCTGAACTGAGACAACTGATAGACAGTTTACCTTTATTCTGCAGCTCCTGATAACCTTCAAGAGACATGCAGACCTGAATAACCTTAAACAGCATCCCAAATTAGTTCTCAAAGAGTGAGTCCCATCCTTTTGCAGTTCTCCTGAGCTGCCCCAGATGGAGCTGAATTCCCTGGCCTCCAGCATTCACATAGGTGTCGATTCTTGCTGTTGATTTCAGTCTCATTTCTGATCTTTTGCTCCATTCTATGGGGTATTTCAAGGATGTGGTAACAGTATCAGCTACAACTCTTATCAGACCTCTAAAGAGCTGGGCCAGCAGCTGGATATCATGGAAGAAGGGACACACCCTCTAAAATCACTGTGGCACTCTTGTCCCAAGACTGGCATGGGTACCTGCCCTGAACTGCAACAGACTCAGCACATGATAAATCCCTGTGCCTACATTTAATGTCTCCAGAGAGGGATCCCATGGGGAATCTTTCATGTGTAATATCTGAGTCAGGCTAATCTAATTTGGTAACCAAATGGCAAAAACTCTCCATGACAGACAGTCTTTCATCCTTGCAAAAAACCACAGAGAACAAACTTTGGAATGACCCCAACTGGCAAAACCTGGCTTGAATAGGGAGTTTATTTTACATTTTAATTTTCTATTTTGTTCTGCTTTCAGTTAAAATAAATGGCATAGAGCTGGTTTATAAAAACACTACCAAACAAAAAACTCTTTACCCAACAGTACTGCACAATATTTAGAGTTCTGCAGGGACCAGTATACATAGAGGGATTTTAATTTTCCATGGCCTGTAAGCGTTATAATCTCCATCAACTGTGTGCACTCTGGGACCATGACTAACACCAGTGCTTGAATTCTGACTGGTTGTTGGCTTCTTTCTTCTGTCTTTAACACTGTTTTGAAACTCACACTTAATCCAATAATTTGCAGGAATAAAGAAGTTTTTACACCAAACGGTTCCTCTCAAGTCTAGCCCACAGGTCTGTTACAGGACAATGTGTCAATAAATCAGAGGTGTCTTCATGTGCTATGAAGGACCACAACATCTTAGGGATAAAGGCTTTACTTATTAGGAGAAATTACACTGGTGGAGATTAGAAAGTGACACAGAACATTCAGACACCAGGACTGTCTTCATGGGTTTGACTACCAGCAGTCCTTTCACAGCATCCACAGCAAATATTGCACTATATCTTGCTTGTTTATTCCTTGTTTATTGTGTGTGCTGTGCCTCAAAATTTCAGGAGTAGCTACAACCACTGACTTCTTCGGCATCCTCTAAAGTCATGAGCTCTCTACCTTTTCCAACTCACATTCCCCATCTTTAAAGACATATTCCTACTCAAGTTGCTTTCTCCCCTTACTTTTCAGTGCAAGGCTGACCAGAATGAACAGCTCTGGCAGCTTTGGTATGACACACTCTTGTGTTCCAGTGCTGCCACGTTAACCACCCTGGTATGTCCTGCTCAGTCATGCTAAAACAATGCTTCATTTTCTAGGACTGAGTTAACTGGGACACCAAAAGGGTTTTATCCCATGTTGGGGCCTCACTTGCCTGCCCAGGTGTTCTGCTGAGAAACAAGTGACCCACAGAGCCCTGTGCAGACCCACGATAGTGATGGCAAGATAAAAATGTCTGAGAGACCTCTGCCCAATCCACAGACTGACCTTACTCATCTCAGTTCTCTCTGGAAGTCACATAGCTCTCCTCGATTTTCATTTGCTAATGGTGGACTGTTATCATGATTTAATTCTTTCACTGGCAAAACACATACAATAGTGTGGCTGTCAAATTTACACACGTTTGCCCCAAGTGAGTCACTGCACCTAAAACTGGAATCTGGGAAGACTGATCCCAAAAAAAAGGAGATGTTTGAGACGACAACCAGAGACCAAGTTTTCATAGAATTAACTGGAAAGGAGAAAGAGGAATCTCAGTTTAACATGAAGCATCAAACTGCTCTGGAAAGCAGATTTCTGCTCCCTTGAGAGTTTTTAATAGCTTTGGACAACTAAGATAAACAGAGACTGAAGGGCTGTCTGAGACACACACAAAATTATTGAATTATGACATGTTTGAGAGGTTATTTACTTTATAGAGTATTTACATAAGGTCTACTTCCTCCTCATATAGAAGGTCAAACATTACAAAGATTCCCCCTCCACTCTTAATGAGGAGTCTGCATTCAACAGCCCCAAACATCCAGAATTAACCTTTTTTCAAGAACATCCCTTGGAAAGTTTTCCAGGCAGTCCGTTCCTTGTTCCTGGTAACAAGCAATAGGACAAGACGAAACAGCCTCAAGTGGCACTAGGGGAGGTTTGGATTGGACATAGGAAAAACTTATTAATCAAAAGGGCTGTCAAGCATTGGAACAGGCTGCTCAGAGAAGTGTTGGAGTCACCATCCCAGGAGGTATTTTGAAGATGTGTGGATGTGGTGCCTGGGCACACGGTTTAGCTGTGGACTTGGCAGTGCTGGCTTAGCAGTTAACTCGATGATCTTGGAGGTCTTTTTGAACCTAAACCATTCTATGATTCCCCAGAGCCTAATCAAAACCAGGGAAATTCCACTCTCTCATCAGGAAAATGAGGCACGTGTGGAAAGAAAACACAGGGCATTAAAAGGAAGAGGGGAAAGAGGGATCAGAATATGAAGTGATGACTGGGATACTGCTATTAAAGCAGCTGATTTTTCCTCAATTCTCTGGTCCATCTGGAACAATTCTGCTCACCTGAGAAGTGTCATGGTTGAATATCACAGCATTCAGGTCTCCACAGTTGTAGTGCTTGATGAGATCCTCAGTGGTGTAAGGGGCCTGCAAACTCCCTGCTCGAAGGCTTTCGTGTTGGAGCAGAGTTTGGTTTAGAGCAAACAGCACCTGCAGAAACACAGGCAGGAAAAGAAAGTTAAAGACAGTAGGAATCAAAACAACAAGGACTAAAGGACAAAACTTTGAAAGACTTTCCTGCCCCTGAAGTCTCTTCCTTTATCCCAGCAACAAAGTCCACAGCTACAAGGGACGGCCTTTAGGCATTCCCAAATGGAAAAGCATTCAGGTGCAAGACCCTACCTATAATATTCTTCACAGAGTATAACTTTACACAGATACATATTGCTCAGAGGTCACAGTCTCAGAACTCTTGGGCTCTCTGTGCTGGTTAATTTGTTTCCTGACAGACACTGGAATGGAAACTCCCCTAAATGAGGGCAAGTCTAGGGCTTCTGACTGTTTCCAGTACCCTAGTTTAAACCCAAAGCCCAAAATCAGTTGACAGGTTTTTGAGAAAAAAATAAAAATCTTATGAACTTCTGAAGTCAAAGGTATTGTATGGGAACTTTGTGCATGCTTGTAATAACAGAAACTTCAGGAAATACATTATTAGTCTCCCTCTTTTTGTCTTTCCTCCTTCACCCACCCATTTGCAAAGTGAGAACAGAGAAACAGATCTGTAACACTGTCCCAACAGACTGGTCCAGTATCCCCATCCCAAACCTAAAAAAACGCCAAAAAAGCAGAAGCACTATTTTTGGGTAACAAAAAAAAAAAAAAAAAAAAAAAAGCCCTTAAATATTTTTTTAAGTCCCTAATTTTTTTTCCTTTGAATTACCAAACAAAGCCTAAAAAAACCCAAGCAAACAAACAAAAAGACCCCCACCACAAAAAACCCTCCATGCCTCCTCAACAACAACAAAAAAAAAACAAATTAAAAAAGGACTACTAAATTTCACATGAACTACCAAAAATCTTTTTAGATTTGTGACAGGCTGTGGGAGTAATATATACCAGTTATTGTACCACTAAGTCTGGGCTTTACATGTTCTGCTTTCCAAGAACCTTCTGAAGAAACTTGATAAAAAGTAGATTAATAAATCAGTAGAACAGCAGTGAAGACTTTTGGCATGAACTATATAAATAAATAAACACACTTTTCCTAAAATAAAGTGGAATGTGGTGACAGAGAGTGAATGCAAAGAATGGTGACAAAAGTCTGTGAATGCAGACTTCTGAAAAATTATTGATGAGTAATTTTTCATGAAAAGACTCCTGCACCCCTCAGTCTCATATTTCACCAGTTTTTAAGCTTTTCTCATTTATAACAGCAGTGGCCCATCCTTCCCAGAGAATAACAATCATCTCAAAATCTGGGCAAGGTAATTCCTGCTGAGTTTCAGTCTGGGACCTGAATTCTTACCTTCTTCAATTTTAGCAACTGAACCCACTTCAATGAGTGAACCCAAGAGGAGTTTAAATCAGCAATTTACATATGTATTTGCAGGATGGAAGTTTTTCTTAGTTTAAAATTATGATTCCTATTGAAGTTTATCTGAAGGTGAAGGAGAGGAAGTTGCAAAATCTCATGTATATAAAAAAAAAGGTATTGGATATTTAATTATGAATAATAACATTGATAATGTTAGTAATATTGATAATAACAAAGGATCTTCAGGGCACTAACAGCCTCAATAAAAAGCTGTTACATGCTAACTAACATACACAAATTGGGTTGAGGAAAAGCAAATGCTAGTTTTTAATTTATATTAAAAAAAAAAAGATGGTCTTTCAACTGAACCTGTTATACCTCAATTTGGCAATCGGTTCCCCATTAACAGCCAAGCCTAAAAGATTTCCTTGCCCAGATCTAAAGGTCTCTTCAGGCTTTTCTACAAAGAGATCAAGCTTTCCCAGGACCACGGCTTGAAGTTAAGCATCTTCCTAACTTAGTTTTTCTCTAATTTAAAAAATATGCAAAAGACACAGTTTGAAAAATTTCTAATGTTTGAAAGGATCTGAGCTTTTTCTTTTTCCCCTAAGGGCTACAGCTCGAAGAGGAAATGGTTCATCCCAGGATTTCCTGGGGATTCTAAACATTTTGACTAATAAAAATAAAAGCTTAGAAAAACATTGACAGGAAAAATGAGAGCAGAGGTTTTCCCAAAATGCTTTTAGCAAAATCCTTCTCATTTTTGATTTTTTAAACAATGGATATTACTGGATTTTTATATACAAAAATATGTATACACACAGGCACACACACATATACAAACCACCAACAAGCCCTGAGGCAAGACCGTGTGTTTTATGTGTTTTATGATAAAATATTAAGAAGGCAATAAACAAATCCTTACTTACTTTACTCCCAATGGTTTCCCCCGCCTTTTTTTTTTTGTTTTGTTTTGTTTTGTTTGTTTGTTTTGGGTTTTTTTTTTGTTATTCTGGGGAAACCAGTCCTGTGCATTAATGCTGGGTCTTTATCCTGTGAATAAGTTTGGAACCTATTATATTATTTCAGTCACATTTACAGGGGGTTAGAGATTTTCTCTGCTTTCTGCTTCAGAACAGCTTTGGGACCTAGAAGTGATGCTGGCCACCAGCTGAACCCATCCAGCACGCTGCTGTCACTGTGGGGAGCTCAGCACTGCCCCAAAAGCTACTCCAGAGATTTTATTTAAGAAGGAAAGTTAAAATCAGAAACTTGAACACTTGAATATGTAACTAACTGATTTCTAGAGAATTTATAGAATTTTCTGATTTCTGGCTTGATCAAGCCATAACCACCATGGATTTTGGCTGGGTGGCTCAAAACAAATTTGAAGAGAATCGGGGTCTCATCACAGCCGCCTACTTCCTGGCTGGATTTGTAGACCATTTCCTTCAGAGTCAGGTTAAAGCCAGCTTACAACCTGAATTTATTTTTCCTTACTGTTCAGATAATGCCACAAAAACAATGCTGTTTCCTTCCCTTCTCTCTATCTTAATATCACTGACCTCATGACCCCCAGCCTAATCCTCTATCTGAGTTAAATCTCCCAGAGCTGCCTGAGATTACTGAACTGATGAGTTCAAAATAAACACACTTAGAGTGACTGCCTATACACAGTCCCACCTAATAAACAGAGCAGACGGGATTTGTTCTGGGAAGCAATGGGAAGTTATGACTTTGGCTCTTGGAAAGTGCGTTTTTATTCACACAATTTATGGTCCTCGCCCTGGTGTGCTTTGAAGACATTTTTGCACGTGTGTGTGTCTCTGGCCCCACCGCTTGTGACTGACCAGTCTTTTAATCTAGGTGGCGTCATTCTCCCAACACAGAGATTTTATTTGGAGACACCAGTTCAGCCCTCAGGGCAGTCCTGTTTTACTGTCAGTGGGAGTGGGTCCCACTAGTCCTACACAGTCCCAGGGATCACTGGTCCAGACATTTTTGGAGTTGTTTTGCACAGCCTTTGGACCTCTCAAGGAAAAGGGGCTGGGCCAGTGAAGACCTTCGGTAACAGCTTTACTGATCACCGTGACACTCAAACAGGTATTCCCCCTCTCTGTGCTTCTGGATTACAGAGCCAGGAGTCACACAAGAACAGAAGGAATGGGTTACAAAAGCAAACCTCCCATATAAATCAACTTGAATGTTTATGGTGTTTAACTTTCACCTTCAAAAAGATAAAGGATTATAAAACTTCCAAACCACACATAAAAGAAGCAGACACAACTGCAGTGGGTCCTGAGATCTTCAGGTTGGCACTGGCCAGAAGTATTGGTATCAGCACTTGTCCTTGGGACAGTTTGAATATTGTTCTGCAAACACATTGGTGAGGTTGGAGGTTTGATATAATGTGATAATTTAATGAGAGTTGGATTTTAGGGAAGTAAACCTAATCTACAGAAACAGATCTAGAGAACCACTGCCACCTTCTTCAAGAGGGAGGAGAAGTGAATAAATGTGTGTTTGAAATGAGTTTAGGAAAACTTCAGCCTTTCCATCAGAAATAACTTTCTTCATTGAACTTAGGAATAAAGCTAGATGAAAATGCCATTTGTTCCAAGGTACTCCCACACCCATTCACATATTGTGTTTTATTGTGCCAGGCCAGCAGCTTCAAATGGCATTTGAAGGCTCCTGAAGGCCAGCAACATGCTAGTGCTGTATGTGATAGCTAAGGAGGAGAAATCACAGCCTCTGAGCCAGACAGATTTCACCTTACCCATGCTCTGTACATTTGTCTCTAGCTGAAGAGCATAAGAAGGTCCAGAAAACAAAAACCAAGCTAACCCTCATCAAATACATTATAATGCCTGGTTATGTCAGCGGTGAACAGGTGGACTTGTCCACTTGTGGAATCAAGTGGAAAGGTTGCTAGGTCCACCTCTTCAATTTTTCTAACTAAAGCCCCAAATAATGCCACAATGGGGAAAAAAAGCTTTGTGGGAACATCTAATAAGCAGCTGTAAAATAAGACAAGGAAACCTTATTCACAGATAAAATGCTTGAGTGGTCCCAAACCTTCCTATGAAATATATTGCTAATAAAACAGACAACAAATTCAGGAATTACAATACAATAAACACATTTTTTGTTAAGCTTAAGACAAATTGGAGCTGTGCTCTTCTGGTGTGTTTGCTGTACAGGAGACTTGAAGATGAAAGGCAGCCCTAGGAAAACTCTCAGGCCAAGCTTTGCATTCACAGGACTCCAGTAGCTGGAATTACAGGATGACCCCTGCACAGACCCATGATTAATAACAATACCACAAAAACAAGTACTTAAATTTCACACTATGATGTCAGCTCTTGAGCAGGCAACTTATTGTTTTCCTTTGCTCTCTCTTTTGGACATGTGCCACCACAATGCAAACACTAAATAAGCATTACTGGAAGTGTTTGAGTGACTATATCCTGTCAGTGCCAAGACTGCAATTCCAGAAAAGAAATACCCACTCTCCTACTTGGTTCAAAACAAACTGCAACATAAATATTGAGATATATACGGTTCTGCAGGGGTTCTCCTTTCTTAGTTATCCTAATCTGTGATCAAACAGAAAATGAAATACACAGTTTCAGGTCAAAATAGCTACTTGGGAAAAAAAAATAGAAGAAAAAAA